AAACCCATCATTTTATTATATCCATAAAGTAGATAAAGAAATGCTAGGATTTGTCCACAATTAACTCTTAATATTGTATTGGTCTGCTTGAAACAAATTTAAGCAATGTACCAAGAATACCTCTAATACAAGGGTGTCAAACTGCCAACCTGCAGCCCGGATGCGTCACCAGGAAAACACGCCCACTCCATTGCCGGCAATGGGGAAAAAGCTCCAATATGTCGCGCGACGTCATGTGATATCGCGAGTTTGACATGTCTGCTCTAATATCTCAATCTTGAAAAGATGCTCAGTTTTTACATTATTCCTTGACTTTAAACTCATTGCAATTAAGTCTCTTATCATTTCAGAGATATCTATATAACCATTCATTTGTGCATATGTCTTATTGTTACCAGATCAAATTCAACCAACTGCTGGGTATCAGAAAAGACTTAAAAATTGATCACATCCATGTGCATTTATATATATTCAAACAAGAAACAACCCCACACACACTAGGACTGATGATGTACTTAAGTCAGGTAATACAACTTCTGGAAGCAAGCAAATAAGCTCAGAGATTACCAAGTTTTCTTGGTAAGATTTGAGAAGAGTTTCAGCATTGCCTTCTTAGTGATCATCAAAGGAGGCTTTGGGTAAAAGCATGTTTCAGTAATCCAACAACAGAATTATAGAAATTGCATATTAATAAAAATGGCTTCTACCACTGTGACTGGTCTAGGTTGACTTTGTGTTGAAGCCAAGACTAGAATTCAAGATCTTCCAGCATCTAGCCTGGTGCCTTAACTGCTGCACCACTCTGGCTCTCCTCCAGTAAATACCTGGCCAATAAAACATTGTAAATTAAATCACTTTTTTAAGTGCTTTATTGATAACCTGAGTAATACCTTATGATTGTGGGTATTAATATATGCACTCAACAAACTTTTTTTTTTTTTTTGCTTTTTACAATAAACAATTATAGGTCCCCTAGTTAACTATTATCAAGATAAAAAAGGAGTGTAATTATTTGTTATCCTCAGTTTTTAATCCATAAATGATTTTTTCCGTCTGCTCCCCTTTGGGTTTATTTTCTTTAACATTGTTCTTTTTTCTTGTCATATATTTATATTTCTGTATTGTATTTTGTGTTTCAGTGTTTTAACAATTGTAAACCACTCACATCTACTGGGAGTCAGGTGGCATATAAATTTAATTATACATATACGTATACGTAATTTAGCTTTGCATACATCTATCTTTGCATTTCAGTAATAATTTGAAAGCTAACTATATGTTCTAGATATTTTATGAAATGAAATTATGTGATAATGAGACAGTAAAATTGCTTTGGCAATTTTGTAATAACTGAAGTGGCAGGTTCCCTTGAGTTCTTGTATTCTGAGTTTTTACATAATTTAAAGTTAAGAATGCTATTTAAAGAAAAGTGGAAAGACACAATGTTTCTACAAAGTAACCTTTCTTTTATTAAACAGGACAATAACTATGCCATCAATTTGTAAAATTAAATTTTTAATAGTAACATCTACATGTCCCTAGTGAAATAAGAACAATTGTCAAGAAGATGACAGTCGTCTCTGGGGATGGGGTAGGATCACAAGGCATTTTGTCATCTGACTGAATGGTTATTATTCAGCTTCTATCAATACACTGTAGTCCCCAGCTAGTTAAGAGACCTAGGGTAAATTTTATGTGATCTATCTTACAAGAACAAAATCTGGAAAGCTGTGGAATGACTGCCAGGAAGCTCCCACTGTAGTCCTTCTGAACTTGCTATTTAAAATGTTCTCCTTACTTTGCTTAATTTTATGTTTGAGTTTATTTGGCTGACCTTTCAAATCAGGACAGTACAAAATCTTGTGAACTCCCTCCCTATATTACCATTAATTATGGACAAATGGTAGGTGATACTCCTGCTACACAAACTTTGCCTTTCTTAATTTACTTAACTTTAAACATTTAGAATTTTTTGTTTTTCGACTAATATTTTGGGGTAAGATGATCTTGAATGGTCAAGTCACTAAGCCTTAATTTGCACAACAGATTTTGGAACTGAAAGATTTTTAATTGTTAAGTTAGTTAAGTCTAATTGTTCTATGAAGTCTGGAGAAAGTGATAAATAAAAGAGTAATTAAAGTTGGGGTAGGGTGAATCTTGGGCCAAGAAGATGTTAGGTGATAGTTTGCTCCTTTAATCACCAATGACATCTGGCAAAGTTTTATTGTCCATGGTTCTTTTATCAGTAATCCTTGTTTAGTGACTATGTCATTTAGTGGCCATTCACAATTATGGTGTTGATGAAAAGATAACTTTGCAATCCATACTCATCTTTATGATCTTCACCTGTTTGTAAAGCAAAGGAAAACTGAAGTGGACCAGTCACAGTTTCACTTTGTTTAATGAGCAGTTCGCTGGCCCTATTTGTGGATGATAAATGTACCTGTAAATATGACAGAGAGGAGTCTTCTTTCTTTCTTTCTTTCTTTCTTTCTTTCTTTCTTTCTTTCTTTCTTTCTTTCTTTCTTTCAACCTGATTTTGAAGCAAAGTTTTCTCAACAACAAACCCAACACCCACAGAATTGTCATCAGGTTTAATTTTTCTCCACTTCAGAGCAGACTGTAATTTTCCTGATAGGATGGAAAATTCTGTTACAGTCATTCATTGTAAATAACTTTTTAGAATAGAATTCTTTTTTTCTGCTTGTTTTAATACCTGGAGAACAATAATTTTCTATTTTAGATTTTATATTGTTTGAAATGCTGCTCTGTTTCTGGGATTTCACATTGATAATAACTTCATTTATCACTGAATTGGATAGAGTAGAGTGTTCATTCTATCGCCAATGCAACAGTTTCAAATTAGAATACTTTCATTCCACTTAATTGTTGATAATTTTTGCTTTGGCATTCTGTCTTTCACATAAGCTCTTATCATTTTATCAGCTCTCTTTTCATTTCAATTTATTTTATCTCTTCCACTTGAACACAGAATAAAGGCAAACAGATTTTGTTCTCCATTTTTAAATATACCTTTTGGGGTTTTGAGGACTGTATTTTGATATAGATGTTTTTCCCAAAAAATATTTTTTTTTGCATCTGACTATCTTGTGGCTCCATTTAACTGCTAATTAAAAAGGAAAGCAACAGTAAAAAAAAATGACCCATCAATAATCTACCTTGGCACTCAACTCTGATGATGCAAATTAGTAATAATGACAGGTGAAGCATACACTTTAGCATACTCTCAATATGGCTTCATTTGATCAAGTTTTATTTTATATTCTGATCTAAATACATTCTTCTTTTATCAGGAATTGCTTGCTTACAAAGCTGAAAGGCTTGATTATGTGTAAGTTTTTTATTCTCAGAGTGAGAGCATTGTACAAATATAATTGCATATTTAAGTGCATTTGGAAATGTAGGAATATATTGGCACTGTTTCTTCTGATGTAAATGGACATCATTGTATCTTTTTAGAATAATGTGGGTAACTGGCTAATTGGATATTAGGTGCTCAGAGTGAAATAATCACATGTATTATGTGGGTATGTTATTAATTTTGTTCAGGAGACTCTGGTTTTCTACTGCTTTAGATATAGATATGAATTTACCAGTAGTTTAGAAACTATCAGGAAGAAAATGATAATGATATTGCATATTTTTATGATCATGGAAAAATGATGCTTCCAAGGCTGGAAGAGCATTCATTTTCTATTAGTTACAGTATATAATGGTGTAGAGCATTGACTCCTTTTTCTATATTAAAATGAGCATTTTGTGACCAGCTGCATTTAGATTGCATGTATTAATTCACATGTAGTTACTTTTTCTGACAATTGCTAAATAAACAATTAAAATTAGTTATGAATTGTATATATTAGCTTTATGCAGCACATAAAATATACATTTTTCCAGATTTTTGTTGTGATAACTGCCCACCGATCAAATTTTATTCAGTAATGGTCAAGATTCATCTACTTCCTTTATTCATTGTACAATCCCAAATCTTTTCAATATAGTTGGAGAACTAACCAGCATTCGGGGAAATTCCAGGCAAACGGGCATAAATCTACTAATATAATGTTGGAGACTGTACCAATTCTCTTTCTCCACCACACCATTTCTTTAAAATAATTTATGTAGGACATAAATATAAGAAAAGATGTGTGTAAAACAATTCAGTGATCATTGCATTCTAGTTCAAGAAGTGATTATTTTAATTCCAATTCTTATTCATATTAATGCTAGACTCAGGATCTGATATAAACTGATACTAATACTAATACTGATACTAATTTCATATAATATTTCTTATATAATCACAGTGAGTTTTGCAAGGAAGAAATACCAAATATACAAATAAACTAAGAATTTAGCAGAATGCTGACTGGCTGACAGACTATTGAATGCGTGTAGAGGAAACATAAAACAAAGCACTGGAAAATGGGATATCTGGAGCAACAATTATTTTCCAATAAATTGGAAAACTAACTAAGAGCATTTCATTGCAATTCCAGCCTTCTCTTTATTACACAATCTCTTAATATTTACATTCCTCTAGGTCCATAAAAAGGTGAAATGATCTAATGCCTAGACTAAGTGAATACTTCACTATAGACATATAAAATAGCAATAGAATCACCCAGCCTGATTGAAGATACCTGTTGCTGAACCTGGATACAAATTAAACTGTACATGCTGACTGTATATGCTCTGATAATATACAGACTTTTTGAAATGACTAAACAATCAATAAATTTAAAAACAGTACAGGTAGTTAGATTACACCCATCAATTAATACTCATTGGTCACTATTTGATCTTTGAACTTGCTTCCAGACTCATTGATAACTATTTGATCCCTGATACTTGCTTTTCAGAAGAATAACATATTTTTCAGGATTTTTTGGGTTTTCTCCTTTAGTGGCCAAAGTGATGTAATTCTATTCCAGTAATAAATTAAGATTATTAGGTAAGAATTTTATTATCTTTCATAGGGAGTGCTGGAACACCTGTCATTTTCAATGAAAATGGAGATGCACCTGGACGTTACGATATCTTCCAGTATCAAATAACCAACAGAAGTGCAGAATATAAAATCATTGGCCACTGGACAAATCAACTTCATCTAAATGTAAGTTTGTAATTTTGTTTAATGATGTTATTTCATAAATATGACTTAACTTAAAAGCAATGATTTTTTTAAAAATGTATTTGTTTCTTGGGGCTTTTGCATTTATTTAAAATGAGTTTCAGTATTAACTGATCTGTTTATTTAGTACTTAGAATGAGCCACTCAACTCACAACAGGCATTTGATAAAGAGAAAGAGCCTAGAAACCTGTTCCAGAGAACAATATATTTTCTTAGAAGACTGCTGGAATTCTCCAGTTTATTGGCATGCTGTAACATCTTTCAAACATTCACTATTGATAGAATAGCCTTCCTGAAAGTAACACCTCAATGATTACTAATTCTAATTACATTCTGAATTCATCCAGAACCAGTGTTGAATCAGCCCATTATTTGTCAGAAAAGGATTGCACATACATGAATGTGTTCTTCTATTTGTCAATATTCCATTGAAAATGCTCAATGACAAACCAGCTGATGATTAAATAAAAATAACAAATTAATAAATATAATTTAAACAGTGAATTTTGATTGGCCAAAAAAGATTCGTATAGTACTAGTTTATATTGTAACAGGCCAATGATAAGAATAACAAAATAACAGTGATTTACAAATGATTACTACTCTGAGGCTACTTTGCAATAATTATGACTGTGCTACCAACAGTAATACATAAAATAGGTTCCTATATCCAACCACTAGACCTCTTTACCATATTTGCTGTTAATTTTTGACTCTTTTCTGGCAAGAGGCTATCCAGTTATTGCTATTATTCAAGCAAAAATATGCAGTATTTGGCTAAGAAGAAGTTTCTCATTCTGCCTATAGCGTAAAAATAAAAATATAAATCTTTGATGCAGAAAAGTATAAGAGCAAAATGATAGAACATTTTTAAATTTCATTATCAACATGAAAGCATGGTAAATGATGTTTTCAATGCCTTCAATATTTTCTAGTAATGTTATGGTTTATGGTCAATTACAATTCCTATCAATAGTAATTCCAAGAACAATTATATATGAATTATATGGAACTTTAAAAAGATTAAAGGAAAAATTTATGATCCTCATGACGCTAGTGAAAAGCTACCCCGGCATTTTCCTTTACTCGGATAACTGTTTCTTATATTGTAAATTGAACTTTAATTATTGTCATTTTAATACACCTATACAGAGATTTTACCCTCTTGGCTTTTCCTTTTAATATTGTTTTAAATGTTATTAGACCTTCCCCAAACATTGAGATTGTTTTCAAAGTTCCATATAATTCACAGATATTCTAATATTTTCTCTTGAAATTACTATTGATAGCAGATGTATTGAATTAATTACTTAACTTCTAAAGTTGCTGCTGCTTATCCAACTATAAGATATACAAATCAGAGAAGTTCTAGGAATAATAGAATGAATTTTTTTTGTCCAGTATTTCCCCAAAAAGTGTGCTCAATGGACATATTCTTTCTAATCAATTTTAATTGCCAGGAGTTTTGATATATTTGAAGTGATATATCACAAGTAATTGTCAGTATCTTTCATAAACGTGTGCTAGATATGGCATAATCTAATTAAGTCAGTGGCATTTGGGTTTTGTTCTGTGATGTGCAATATTTAAAGTTATTCTAGGAAGGCAAGTTTTACTAAATAAATGGGATTTATTCCACAATAAGTATATAGAGAATTTGAACCTTGATATATGAAGATTTCAGTTAATGCTAATCTATTCTCCTACTTTGAAGAAATATTTTCATCCACATGAAAGAATGTCTTTTTTGCCAACAAATAAAATAATTTCTTTAAAAATTTGTAATGTTGGGAAGAACTTGTGCCTTATTTTGTACATCAATTCTCTCTTTTATAATTGGTTACTGTTAAATTTATGTTGAGCTTCTGACCCTTTATATTAAAAATTTATTCACCTTATCAAGAAGAATCTTATGATTTAAATCAACAGCAGTTCCTTGAGTAGTCAGATGATCATATAATGGCATAGAATAATTCCAATAAGATGTGTAGTTAAAAAAAACTGTGTGTAAAGAAAACCTAACCTTCATATCTCATCTTCTTTTCTTATGGGATTATCCAAACAGATGAAAATTCTGCACATCATTAGCTAATATCATGCATCATTGTTAAACCAATTCTTAATACAAGAGTTAATTACAGACTTTTTAAAATGAATATTGTTTTGATGCTTATTATACCAATCCTTCTTATGTATTTAATCATAATTCTAATGGTAGCATTTCTGTACATTACTTATTGTTTGTCAATATCAAGAGACCCACTGCAGTCAATTTAGAGGACTTTGTTTCCTTGGAATCATTATAAGGTAGCTGAATGACATTTTGCCAGTTTTTCTCAAGTTTCTATTGCTTTATACTTAAAATGTTGTTCAACTTTCTTTCTGGCAGTTATTCTAATCTATTAATGGTAATAAAGCTGATAAAACTGTTTTGATGATGAAATGGAATAATTTCATGTATACTTCCCTAAACCTTGTGGAAACAGAAAGATAGAGATTACAAGTCATGAATATGTAATTGTTGTTTACTGTTTGTCTATTACTGGCTATGCTATACAACCTACAATCTTATTAATTAATTAAAAGAAATAAGTACTGCATGTAGTAGGTTTACCAATATATTTGCTTAGATTTAGCTATAAAATGCAGTCATATATGTTTCTGCTTAGAAGTAAGTCCCACTTAATTTAATAATAATTAGATTAAATACGATATGTAGGGTAGTAAGTATAATATATTATACTTCTAATATTTTGATATTTATTTGTTTATTTATTTATTAAATTATTAAACTTACATGCTGATCATCTCGCCAGAAATGATTTTAGGCAGCTTACATTCATTCAATTTAAATGCATTATACTGTAAACCATTAAAATAATAAATAGAATAATAATGATAATAATAATATGCAAAAATGTTTGTAAAATGCAACTAATGAGAATAACATCATATACATTGTTTCTCAACATAGTTTTCTAATACTAAATTGAAATGGTGAATGTCAAAAAAAAAAAAAATGAAGATCCTAACACTAAACCTAACTCATTTTGTACCTGTTCTTACATATAGCAAGTCCTACCTCAATGTTCTAGCTTTAAAAATTCTGACAATTACAATATTAACTCAGAGAAGCTAATGTGTATCTACCATATGTCAACAAAGGAGTACAGTACTGTAGTGTTTAAATAACAGGATTGCTTAAGCATGGTTGCCAAGGATATACAAAAATTTTGCGCAAACTCATTAGTATTATGGGCAAAAAAGCATCATGTAGTGTGTAGTTTATAGAGTATTTTTACATGAGAACCTAATCATTCTTGCTTATACTAAAACAAACCATGACTTGATCCACTGTGTGAACTCAGGCATAATTTCCTTTTGTTTGATTTCTTGTTCTTTATATTTTACTATTTGTTTATGATGTATGCTATATACAATGTAATCAGAGGTATCACATGGGCAGGGAGAATTAAGGGGAACAATTTGTTATTATTTGTTTTGCTCTTTCTATTGCCTCCATGATATTTTAAAAATCCTAGTGCATGGGTGTCAAACTGCTGGCCCGTGGGTCAGACACATCACGAGGAAACAGCGCCCACCCAATTGCCAGCAATAGGGAAAAAGCTCCGATACATCGCATGATGTCATGTGATATCATGAGTTTGACATGTCTGTCCTAGTGTATAACCCTCCCCTAGGGTTACTTCAGGGATTGAGGGGCAAACAAATAAATAAATAAAACAAGACGTGGTATTGCCTCGTCACTTTGCAAGACCTCTTCCTTTGGACATGCATCATAACATGTATGAAAGTAATATAAGAAGTTCAGTATTTTGGCAGATTGTCATCTGAAATTGTGGATCCATAAAAAGCAATACAGGAAATATTGCTTTCCTGGGGAAGGATACCATGTTCATGACCCAATATAGTATGCTTTTTTAAAAAAATTGAATCAGAATACTCTTATCATCAGCTTAACCAATCACATAATAAGGCTATGGGAAAATGGGGGGAAAGATGGAGTGTTCTTGTGTCAGAAGACTGCAAGCCCATTGAGGAATGTAATGGCTTTCTTTTAAGATTCTCAAAACATGATCAGTATATTTTATTGCAAATTTAACAGGGTGCAACTTTCAAGGAATTCTAGTTCTAACAAAGAGATAGAATTGAATGGCTTTAAATTTGTAGTTCAAAGTTGCTTCAACATGGATCTCCTTTTCTATACTTTTCCTGCTCTTTCTCTAACAATTTAACATTCTAGGACAATTGGATACTCCAACAATTTCTGAAAGGTTTATATATACATATATTAGAGTTAGCAGACTACAGCTGCAAAAATACAGACAGATATTACATGTTTATAAATTATAGCATATAGACAACTGCCATATTAGAAATATTTAAGCAGGTTATGAAGTAGCGCTTCAACTACGATCCTGGAAAGTTGCAGTGAATCATATTATACAATAATGGCTGGTTAAAATAATGAACAAGTAATCTGGTTTTGCATGCTATATTTGGCATAATAGCAAAGTCTTTGCAACTTGTTTTCATGATAGGAATATTCAAAATACTCTGATGTTAAATAGCACAAATATATCTTTTTAACAGGCAAAGGGACAAAATTTAAGCAGAGGAATCCATTTAATCAAATTAAGGAATAAATCAATATCAACGGATAGTTGTATTCTGAGAGAACAGCTGGATATTGTAGCCAGGACATGTTAATCCTGAATGTTCACTATCATGAGACTTAATTTTTCTTTTCTTGGTGCCGCATCAAACATTTAGATTTATTTTACAGGTAACTGTTTTTCAATGGACATCGGAGTGGTTTCTTCAGTCTGTTGTGCTGCTTCTATTTCTATCAATATGATAGTGGCTCTCCTTTCTGGGCAGAAAATGCTGAGTCTGCCTTGGAAAAAACTTACAAAATCTTGAGGATACCTATGTCAGCAGATTTTGCTGACATCCGGAT